GGCTGGTCTGCTCATCCTTTCAAGTGGAGATTTCTCATCTCTGGAGATCTGGATGTGGTTCCAGTTTCTACCTATAGTTTTATGTATTGCAGAGGCTCTGCAGGAAGCCTCGTTCACTGTAGCCCCATTTTAAGTATTCCAATCAGTCATAGGCAGAAGACGGACTTACAAGCCTTCTAGTGTGGTGTTTCTATTCCTTTCTCTCCCTCTCCAGTGTTTACTCTGTGCTGCCCGGTCAGGGAAGCACTGGAAGTTCCCCCCAAACCAACTTTGCAGTCCAGCACATTAACCCACAGTACTACACCTGGACTCCTCACCGTAGAGTATTAAGGAACCAATGTTGCCTGATCGATAGTACCATCTTGTGGCTCTTTGTGGGTATTACAGGTTTTTTAATGTGTTTTTGCCACAGGATGAATGTATGGAATGTGGTTTCCAAGTCATTCCAGGGATGTGAAGTACCATTAGGCTTAGAATTCAGTTTGGTGTGTGGGCAAGATGGGAATGGTGGGCACAGGAATAGAACTAGCCCCCAATCCAAGTCCTTATAACCGATGGTGAAATAGTCACCCAGGCACTGGGAAAGGAACCATGTACTTTCCCAATCAGGGCTGGGAAAGGGGGTCAAGGGTTGTAGAAAGCAGGAGATCTCCATATGAGACCATCATATGAAGAACAGTACTAAACCAACTTTGGAAGCAAAAAGAACCCGGGAGTCCTGGTGTGGCTCTGTGGGTTAATGCACCAGACTGCAAAGCCATTTGAACTGCAAGGTTGGCAGTTTAAGCTTACCAGCTGCTCCTTGGAAACCCTATACAGGGTCCCTATGGGTCGGAATCGACTCGACGGCACTCAACAAGTTCACTGAGGCTTTCTGCAGCAACTGCAGCCCAGACTGGGACTGCTCATGCCAGGCTAGGTAGGGCCCTGAACCAGGGCTAGGGACAGCCTGCCAGCCCTTCATGGAGGGTGTTCCTTGGGGCCCAAGTCTCATCATTTCATAGGAAATCCAGTCTGGAATGAACTGGCAACATTTAGAGAAGGTAGTTGAGGTTTAGGAAGCAGGGATTCCAGAAAGGAGAGGAAGCAACCAGCAACTAGAGGCCTCTAAGAGGTATGGGCTTGGGAACATTCTAGCAAAGGACTCTTCCCGCAGCAATAGTTTGTTTTGTGGTCCTTTACATCCAACCACAGCACATGCTGGTCAGACTTTGCACAGGGTATATCCCCTGGGAGTGGAGCAGTTTGGAGCTGTCTTTGTGATATACAACTGAGACGCCTTTTTTACAATTTAAACTTTTTATTGTGAATTGAGTGAAGGTTTACAGAGCAGATCAACTTTACATTTAACAAATCATAACTTTCATTTAAATTCACCTCCATGCAACAAGTTAGCCTGCTTCTTCCCTGTGATTCCTCTTTGCATCCCAACCCCCTTGCTGTAACTTCTCAACTTTGTCCTTAGGAAAATGTTGCCCTTTTGATTTTGAATGATTGACCATCCCATGGGGAACATACCGTACTAGTGTTGTCCCCCACCCATAAACCTATTCACTGAGTGATATCAGAGCCTTGAGGGTGAGTTCCATTCCAGACCTGAAGTGTGGTCAAGGGTCAGTCTCAGGTTCCTCCAGCCTCTTTCTGACCAGTAAACCTGGTCTTTTTTCATTAACTGAAGTTGTTTTGTTCCACCATTTTCTTCTATTGTGTCTGGGACCCTCCAATGTGCTCCCCATCAAGGTAGTTGGTAGTCATTGCCTGGCACCATCTAGTTCTAGATTCAGAATCAGAGAGACTGGTTGGTATTCAGTTTCCACTCGTCTACTGGACTGATTCCAAGGCTCTTCAATTCTTATAATTTTTTTTTTGATACATGTAAAGTCCAATAGTTGCACCTCAAGATGGCTAATTGTGGGCTTTCAAGATCCCCAATGCTACTCACCCAAGCAGGACTTAAAACATTGTTAGTGGACTGTTATGCCACTTAACCATGGTGTCCCCTCAGACTATGGTCTTGAGCCCCTAGGCCCATAAACTCATTGCCTTAGGATGTTGGATATTCATGTAGTTTGCATCATCTTGCCTACTATATGCTCCACCACATTAATATTTGTTTGCAACAAAGGTAAGTATTCATGTACCAATGTCCTTTCAAACGCATTTATTTGTGGGTGCAGCGATGTAGGATAAGCACTCAACCACAAGGTTCGAGGTTCAAACTCCCAGCTGCTCCTCGGAAAACCCTACAGTGTTGCTATGAGCAGGAACTGTCTCCAACAGCACTTAATGTGCATATATATCCCACTCTTCTTCCCTTACCCATTTAGTCTGTGTCTCAGTCCATGTTATCTTTGTAGAGAACAATGTTATTCCAAGGTCGTATGCTTACATCACTATTTACCTCTGCCCCCTTAGCAGCACTATGTGTTCACTATTCTTCTGCCACCCTCCCTCTTCTTGTTTATTGCCCCTCTTCCCTATCATTCTAGCTACTGTGTCTATCCTCTAGCCAGTTGAATTATTCTCCTCTCCTCTACCCCCCCCCATAACCATTAAAGAATGCAAACCTTTCCTTAAGCTTTTGTAGCAATGGTCTCATACAACACTTGTTCTTTTGTGACCAATCTTATTCAGGAGTCCTGGTGTAGGATAAGCACTGGATTCTAAGATCATTTGAACTGCAAGGTCAGTGGGTCAAACTCACCAGCCATTCCTGGGAAGCCCTATAAAAGGGTCACTGAGTCGGACTCGACTGGGCAGCACTTAACAAATGTCCTCCGAGATGCTCATGTTTAAGCTAATGTTTGGAGACAACTAGCCAGGGTCTTCTGTGGCCTGGATGGAGAAGCAGCCAGGGAATGGCCATCTCCAAAGCTGAAAGGAGGCGAAGACAAGAGTCTGGGGCAAGTGAGGCACAGGATGGCTGAGTATGAAGCCGGGCCCTAACACACATGTGCCCAGAGCAAACCGAGAGAGGACGGGCAGCTCAGGTGGAAAGAGGTGGGTGCTGAGAGGCTGGGACAAGTCATAGGGGTCAGATTCAGTTTTGAAGGGCAGGCACTCTAGAGCATGATCAGATCTCAAGGGTGAGAGGGAGCAGAGTCCCCAGATATGGGGTGACTGCTATGCACATTGCTCCTGGCATTCGCTGCACCATCTCCTGAGCCTGAGTCTAGCCAGGAGCTGGCACAGGTTTGTGAGGGTGACCCAGTGTCCCTTTGTTCAGAGGAACGCTAACCCCCGCAGATGTTGTGGTTGACACTGGGCCCCCCTCCTGCACAGGTGCAGGTGGGAAGCACACCTCAGGACCAAAGAATCGTCGGGTACATCTCCTGCACACACCTGCAAGCCCCACCAGGTAGGCTGGTAGCCTAAGGTTCTCAGGGCTGTGGCTCACCACCAGCCCCTATCCCAGGTTGGGACAGGCACCTGGGGCACACCTCATCATGTCTCTGGCTCTGTCCTGCAGAAGATAGCACCATCCGCTGCGAGCAGCTGGACCTGCTTCAGGACTGGCTGGCTGATTTCCGAAAATCTACCTCCTCGTCCAGCACAGCCAACCCCGAGGAGCTGGTGGCATTTGACATCATCTGCGGAGATTTTAACTTTGATAACTGCTCCTCTGGTGAGGCAACACCCTTCCCACTCACAGCTGGAAAGATTTGGGCTAGGTAGCTTGAAAAGAGCTGTGTGCTCCTCTTGAGTGTGGGGCGGAGATACTTAGCATGCACTAGAATTTCTCTGCCCCTACAGGACCTAGCACACAAGAACCCACACTCTAGCTGGAAAGCTGAGACCTCCTTCCTAAGCAAAGGCTGCTGTAGAAATGAACTTCTCTGACCAGGAAGGCTCGGAGCCGAAACTCAAGAGTGACAGAGAGCTAGCAACTAATAAGCACTGCTTTATTCAGCTCTTAAGGAGCTCTGGTAGCGTAGTGGTTATGAATCGGGCTGCGAACCGCAAGGTCAGCAGTTCGAAACTACCAGCTGCTCTGTGGGGAAAAAGATGTGGCTTTCTGCTCCTGTAAAGATTTACAGCCTTGGAAACCCTGTTCAGGGTCACTATGGGTCGGAACCAACTCGATGGCACTTAACATTCAGCTCTTACTCTGGGCAAGCACGGTGCTAACAGCTTTCATGTAAGTGTCATAACCTTAAGAAACAGACCCGTTATATCCACATGCATATAACTAGAGGGATTTGAGGACCAACTAGCCCAAGGCCACACAGCCAGTGTTGTTTAACTGGGACATGAACCCTGGGAATCATGCTTTAAACCACCACGATAGTCTAGACATTCTGCATCAGTTACATTTTGTTTCACACTGTGGTCTTGTTGCTGTTAAGGATTTCCCCCCCGAGGGCTGGGTAGTCCTGAGTCCCCCTTGCCCCTTGAGGAGCCAGCTGCTAGGAACACCCTCAGCCCCGGACTCCTGGGCAGTGAGGATGGAGGTGTGAGCTCAGGAAGGCAGAACTCTAGGCTTTACTGGAGCCCAGGGCAGGCATCCCTAGTCCCATCAATAACCTCTCCTCCCTTCCTGGGAGGAGGCAGGCCAAGTCCCTTCCAGCTCTCAGTCTGTGAGGTCCATTCCTCACTCAGGTCTGGGCAGCATCAACCAGCCTCTCAGCCACAGGGTCTGGGAAGACGGTGAAGATCACTGTTCCCTGGAGCTATCCAGGCCATGTGCTTCTCAGGTGACACAGAACCAAAACCAGAACCAGTGGCAGATGAACTACAGGCTCCTCTGTCCAGTGCATGGAACCAGTTCAGGCCCGTTTGACCCCCTTCTGAGAGTTACCTTTCCACCCAGATACCCCAAACCTGAATTTACACTGGATCTTGTTAAATGTACCTATTCAGCTTCAGTATCCTTGGATGGAAATGCACGTTCTTTGCAGGGGTCTCACTGCTCCTGACTGGTCACTCCCAGCAGCAGTAGTGATTGTCCCCTTCTGCAGACGACAAGCTGGAGCAGCAGCACTCCCTGTTTGCGCGCTACAAGGATCCCTGCCGCCTGGGCCCCGGGGAGGAGAAGTCATGGGCCATCGGTGAGACTTCCGCTGACATGGTGGGGCGTGTGGGTGCAGGGGCTGGGCTGGAGAGAACACAGAGGCTGGGCCCTGCCTCGAGGGACACTTTCCACCTTGCTCCCAGGCACCTTGCTGGATACCAATAATCTCCATGATGAGGATGTGTGCACCCCAGACAATCTGCAGAAGTAAGTACCCCACAGCTGCACCCTGCCCCTTCAAGACCCCTCCCTGGTCTGGGATGAGTCACGAAGTCCCCAGTCAAGTGATGGACAGGGCTGAAGTAGAGGGGCCCAGCACAGGCCGGAATACGTCCCTCAGCCCATACCTGGAGAAGTGGGAAGTTGGACTTGGAGACCCTCAGGTAGGAGTGGCACCGCCATGCCTCAGGGGCTGGCCTTGCTCAGAGCAGGCCCCAGGGACTCTGGAGGCAGGTTTCCGGGTGCATTGTGCCAGCTTGTCCTTCCCAGGCCTCAGCTGAAGGGAACCCAAGGCCGTGCTCACCAATTAGACAAAATATGAGCAGAGAAAACACAAGGGTAGAAACAATTCTCTCCCAACACAGCTTCCTTCTGGAATCTTGGTGAGACTTAGATGAGAGACACATGGCTGAAAAGCCAATAGCAGAACCAATTTATAATACTCAAGCCTAAGCTGGCTCCTCGCAGCAAATTTGAGCCAATTAATTAGATTATAGGCTAAATTTGAAACATCATCCTATGCCGAGAAAATGATCTTTTTATGAGATGATTAAAAAATGACTCTCAGTAACTCTCGGATCATTGACGCTGGAATTAATTATCAAAAGCAAAGGACAGTAATGAATTATATATTTCAGAGCTGCAACGATGTGTTCTGAGTTACACTAGTATATGTATTTTGTCATTAGTGAATTGATCTCAAAGTGACAGAGAGCTTCTTGCAGAAGCCTGTGTTTGCTGACAGGGCCTCTTCAGGCGGCCCCTCTTCCCTCCACCCCAGACACAGGCCTGGGCCAGCTCAGTGAAGGTCCTCCTTACAGCAAGCCCCCTTCAGGCAGGTCCACCACCCCTGCGTTGGTACTCAAGGAAATGCTGCCAGGACCCAGCCAGCGAGTCAGCAGGCCCAGATTCAAGGTGCAACACTGTCCCAAGCTCCAGGCCTGAGTAACGTGCTTTCAAGCTCTAGGTCTCCCTGGGTAATAGTGAGCAAATTTCCCAGCTCTGCTCCATGGAGTTGAGCTGAGCTGGTGCATAAGCTAGGTCTCACAGCTACTCATTGACAGACCGGCAGAGTTGAGTCCTGAATCCCCTGCTTTCTGCCAACCTGGAAAAAGTTATTGGGGCCTGAGGTGCACTGCAGAGAACAAGTCCTGTGGGTACAGAGCAGAGCCTGTAGCTGGCTCCAGCTCGGCCACAGATTCTAAGCTGCAGCCAGAAGCATGGTTGTGGGCACCCCAGGTCACAAGGCCCAAGGGAAGGAAACAAGACATATCTGTGAGGGGCCCAGGAACTCGCAGGCTCTGAGTCAGTTTCCCTCAATTAAACCCAGTGGTTTGGTCGGGCTGGCTTCTCTCCTACTTGGGTGCTCTGTTCACCTGGCTCACCTGTGGGACCAGGGTCTTGGAAAGCGAGGAAGGCCGCCGCGAGTACTTGGCATTCCCACCAAGCAAGTGCGCTGGAGTGGGCACCAAGGGGCGCAAGGACCTGCTGAAGGGGAATGGCCGCCGCATCGACTACATCCTGCTCGGGGAGGAGGGCCTGGGCCCCGACTGGAAGGCCGTGAGTCCAGTGGGGGTAAGGGTGGGGAGCGGGCCTGCCCACCACCCTGCACTCCTTAGCACCCTGACATTGCCCACCCACCCCAGCCTGAGGCCCCGTGTCTGGAGTACCCAGGCTGCTCCCCCCTGTACAGGGGACCCTCTGGGTCTGACTGGGATGCTTCTGCTCCCTCAACCCCCTGCCCCCAGGAAGTGGAAGAATTCAGTTTTATCACCCAGCTGTCGGGCCTGACTGACCACCTCCCAGTAGCCATACGGCTGATGGTGTCCGCCAGCGAGGAGGAGGCGGTATAGACCAGCCACAACACTACTCGGCCAGCAGTCCACAGCCGTGGGGCCCATACCAGCCCTGTGAACCGCAGCCCTCTGTCCCTGGGCCTCAGCCCCTCAAGCTGGTCCCCAGTGAGGGGAGCAGTCCCACCTGCCCTGCGGGCCAGGACACAGCTGTGTAACCAGTGCCATTCTTTCCAATGGGATTGTCTTATGAATCTACAGCACAACCTAGTTTGTAACCCGTGGGTTCGTATGAGAACCGGGTTTCCCATACTCTGTATATCTCTTCTCAAGCTTTGTCCAGGGTTCATTATTTGTGTCTGCTGCCAACGTTGTCCGCATGCCTGCACCCTTGCACGCACGCTGCCTGCATGCCCCGCGCCCGCCATAGCCACACAGACCCTCGCTCGGCCTCACCCAAGGCCAAACTCCAAACAATCAGAACCAGCCAAAGAAGCACTTCTGGGCACAGGGCCGCCAGCAGGACCGTGAGGACTGTGTCCAGGGACAGCAAGCCCGGCTTTTCCCAGGGTCTTGCATTCAAGGGCGATTACATTTTAAAAGTTTAAAAAATGAAAAAACAACCCACAACACTAACCCTTCACTGTCCACAGGATCTGCTCTTCCTGTGACAGCTCCCTCCCCTAGCCAGGTCTACCAGCCCTCAGGCTCCACAGATGGGGCAGAGCAGAGCCATACCTGGGAATGCCGAAAAGAGGGCTCCCACTTTTTTAGAAAGAGAGGGGGTCTTCTGACTTTGAAAACGATTCCGATTTGTAGCTGCTTTTCTTCTATTCTCCTCCCTGCTGGACGCTCCTCATTCTCCCCTCTGGTTCGGGACCAATCCTTCCTCGGGGGCTTCCTCACCCTGAGCTGGCTGAGCTCAGGAACCACTGGCCTCCCCAGCAGAGTCCCCCAACCCTGGGGCAGGGGAGGGCAGGCAAGGCCAAAAGATGGTGACTGACCAGAGCAGGGAGTGGGACTGGGTGGCATCCAGGTGCACAAAACCCCACTCTGCCACCCATGTGACCAGGGCCAGTCCAGGCTCCAAACAGCTTGCCAACAACCTGACCCCTGTTTGCCACTAGCCAGAGAGGAGAGGCTGGCAGCTGCCCACCAGAGTCAGCATTGCCTCCACCCACCTGCCTTTTCCCTAGTGAGGGCCCCAAGTCACACAAGAGAGGGGCAGTCCAGTTTCAAGGTGGGAAGCTCCTCCAACTTGGAAACTGTTTTCAGCAGTTCCCACTGGTTCCCCCGGCAGTGCCCTGACCATGTGTCCAGCTTGGCTCTGAGCCAGCGATGCCCAGCAAGGCTGGGGAGGGAGCACCAGGGCCCTGTGTAGGGCTTCTGTTGCCGGTGTGCTGATGTGTGCCTTGTCACCTGCTGAGCTGCAAGAGGGACCAAGAGGGGGATGAAGCAGGCAGCCTAACGCTAGACCTGTGTCTGGAGGCCAGCCCACAGGCTGGGCAACTGGAGCTATGGCGTGAAGCATGGGGACATTACTAGTGTCTGACCCCATCTGGCCTGGGGCCACCTCCCTCTCTTTGCCCGGCGCCCAACTGGGTTCCTACCCTTGATGACATTGGGAGGGGGGCACTGGTTCATCGATCCCCAGGGAGGTCCAGCCTCAGCTAAGCGCCTCAGAGGGTTCTCACCTGCTCAGCTCCAGGGCTGAGATGAGCCCCATCCAGCCCCAAGGACACCTGCTTCTCTCCCTCCTAATCCAGGGTGGCCTTAGGCAAGTATCATACCTTCCTGTGCCTCGGTCACGGTAACATAGGTCATCTCTGCCAAGCCAGCCCCTGGCGTCCAGAGCAGAGCACCTGCCTCCCAGCTCTCCTCACGCCTGTAGCACAGCCTGCTGGAGGCCAAGGTCGCCAGCCACACAGTTCCGCGCGCCCCTGGATCCTGGGGCTTGTGCGCACACACCAGGCTCTTCCGTTTTGGTTTTCAAAAGAGAAAGAAAAAACATTTCCAGAATCTCAGATTCCGTGCCATCTAGGCTGGGAGGAGGCAGGCCCAGTGCACCCCAAACCCCACCACCCAGGCTCCTCACCTGCCCAGCCTCGAAAGTAGCCCCGAGGCCGCCCATTTTCATTTGTCCATACCACTTTGGGTTTTGAGTATGAATATTAATCTTGATGCTTTTTAACTATTGTATTAACTTGCTAAGATTTAGAGATACTGTTTTAAAAAAAAAAAAAAAAAAACTTTTTTAATTTCCGTATTTTTTTCTGTATTCTATCCACGTGGGACATAAGGGTTTTTATATGGTAAGCACACCTAAGGTTTTGGTAAACACATTAGCAAAATATATATATATCCAGACGATTCTTCCCTAGAAGAAAATCTTTACATCTGATAAAATATTTTGAAAAGAGGGTTTTTTTCCTTTATTGGTGCTGAAAGGAAGGATGGATATAACTTCAAGGAAAAAATAAAACTGTGAGGCTCGAGGCTGACGTCTCCAGTTATTTGAGCGACATGCGGGGCTGGAGCCTGCTGTGACTCCAACCCAGTAGGGGCTGCACAAGTTGCTGGGATTAATGGTCATGCCTGTCCCGAGACAAACCACAAAGGAGTACCTTGGGTGTTTGAGGACTGTCACCTCACCCTCTCATCTTGTCCCAGGAAGCAGGGCTGACACTGAGGTGGCTCTTCAGGGTTGTCCATGTCACAGGAAAAGTAAATGGAGGGGGGACTTGGGACCACTTCCTGGCTCCTTTTCCTGGTGGTTGGTCTCCTTGACTACTGGTCTCAGCAGACTACCTGATTCCCAGTGAGGTCACTGGGGGGTGGAAAGTCTCACATCTGTCTTCTCAACAAAACACTACAGGCTCTAGGCCCCCATTTCCTCTCCAGAAGCCCCTCCCAGCCACAACCAGATGGGCAGGGAGCTGGCGATTCCCAGATAGCTTTTCTATATCGTATCCCGTCCATCCACACCACAACCCCCTCTGGCACTGCCCAGCAGAACACAGAATGGGCACCCTAACTTGCTCTACCCCACAGCCTCCTGTCCTTCTAGTCTCTTCCATGGCAAGGAGACAGTGCTGCCTTCAGAGCTTCCTGAGCAGTCCCAAACCAGAGGCAAAAGCTCTTTGTCTGACACTCCCTATCCCATGATGGGCTCCCACTAATCCAACAAGCACCAGGCCTTGCAATATGCACCTGAAGCCAGGAAGCACAAGGCAAAAAGGCAAATACAGAAGTGGCCTCTGAATCCTGAGGCTTGAGCAGATCTGGAAAAGGAGAAGCACCTTCAGTTTACCTCCCAGAAATAAAAAATCTAGTCAGAGCCCAGAACCCTCGGCCACTTTATTCCTAACCACTGAGGGTCAGCATTCATCATACAGGGCACCTGAGAGTCTGAAGTCCATAGTGATGTCTCCACTGTGGGGATTAAACTCCACAGCATAGGTAACCACGGTCTGCAGGCCGCCCAGTGGCACTCTGGGGTCCAGGGTGGTGCTGAAGAAGTATACGGCCTGCTTGCAATGGGGGTTCCAGCAACAATCCCCCTGTGGGAGGAGCAGATGCTAGGTAGACAGGGCCCCTTCCTGTCCCAAGCCCCCTCCTGGTTGACCTCTAGCCCAGACAGTGCACAGCAGGAAGTAGTTCAGGAAAAACTTCGTAAGTTATCACCTGGCCTGAAGAGCATCTTCCAGAAATACCAAAGCCCAGAGAGCAGGACCATTTTTCCCTGGGCAGAACCTGCTCCTAGGGTACACCACAAACTTGGGGCCCCACGCACACAGCAATACCTCTTCTCCCGTGAGTCTCAAGAGGCCGGTGCTGACAGTGCTGTCTGGGGTCAGGTGGTAGTCCATCCACAGCACAGCCCCATGGCTCCTGCCAGGCCTGGAATGGATGGGAAGACCATCACACACAGCCATGTGGCATGGCCCTGACTTCCAAGGCAGCCCTGGTCTGCTCCACTGTTAGTCTACCACCACCCAGGACTACAGGCCACATGGAAAAACCTGAGCAAAAGTGGAGGGGGCTGCGGGCTGTGCCCTCTGCCAAAAACTTACAGGCCCCTCACTTCTTGCAGCCTGACCAAACCGAGTGACCACCAAGCAGGCCAGCAGCTGCAAGAAGAACCGCTCCCTCAGTCTGACATGCAGCACGTCTCAGCTGGAAAGAGCCTTCCAGAAAGCATGGTTGGAGGTTCAAGGAGGCACGTGCCCCAGGGTCCCTGAAAGAGGGCTCCTCCTGGAGAGGAGCTGATGGACCAACTGCATCACAGCAAGCAGCCCTCCCCAATTTCTAACCTGCTGTATTCCCAAGAGAGTTCAGGAACCTAGGCCAATAGGAAACCATGGTAATGAAATGCCAGTTCTCTGGAGCTGTGTGGCCCACCCACCACAGAGCTCAGAGTGAGTCTCAGATGTGGTGGTGACAGCAAAGCCCACTCTAACCACTCCCTCCCCGGCGTTACCTGCAGGGGACCCAAACCAGTGTCAGCAGGCCAGCCACACCCCACCCCAGCCTGACCTCCAGGTCCACACTCACCTCCTCAGCTCCATGGAGCCCTTAGCCCGGACAGGCTGCTGGGGCACTGGCTGCTGAAAGTCAAAAGTCAGGATCTGCTGGGGTTCGGAGAGGCCACGGCAGGGGTACTCCCAGAGCGGATGGGGCTCAGCTTCCCGGCTCTCCCTGAAGTCCAGTGCCCGCTGAGGAGAAAGGAGGGTCTGGGGTCTGCAGCTCCTGTCCTCTCTCCAGAAGATGTCAGTGGCACCTCTCTGCTCCACAGGGAGCCCCTCAGGAAGACTCGGGTCTCCTGGAAGCACCAGTTCTTCCCTTTCTGCTACTGCACACACATTAACTAAGTCCTTTGTGAGTCACTTGGCCTCCTGTAGCTTCATTCGCCCCTTTTACAAATGGGCAGCAACGCCTACCCATTGACTTATTCTGAGACCCAAATGTCTATATGGGTGAGAGCAGCTGGTCACCTATGGATCACCCAATACTGTGAGAACTTGAGGCTCAATGAAGAGGACCAACTATAAGTGAAAGTGAGGAAGGCTTTGCCAGGATGGCTGCCTTGTCCCAGCATTTGGGTGAATAGGTATGAGTGACAATAGACCCGGTGGGGCAAGGTGGATTCTGGGAGCACAAATGTCAGAGTGCTTGAGCACATCTTCATGGAGACACCACAGCGCCTAGCTCCTTGGTCTTCACTCAGGAGAGATGCAGACACCAAAATCATACCAGCAATAAACAAGGAACATGGCAGGACAGGAGCAAAGGGTGATGGGAGTGGGAAAGTGGGAAGGGTCCAGGAGAAGCCTGGGGGCGGGCATGAGGGTCTCTACACAAAGGAGAAGAGGCCTTTTACAAGTAGAGACAGCTGGCTAGTCATCCTAAGAAGGAGCAGATAAAATACAAACAGAACCATTACTGGATTTCTTTACAAGTGTTTATAGAAGCAACCCCATAAACTCTAGAGAACTGGGGACAAAAAGATAAGTAAAGTAAGGAAACACACAGGAAGGCACTTGCAAATCACAGACTTCACACTGGTGTCTACTCTTCTACGCCTTTTGCACAAAGCCTTAATACATAAAAATGTGCTGTGCCTGATTCACTTTGCTTCCATTCACAGGGTAAAAGCCATGGGTGCACTTCAGGACTGCTGAGTCCTGGGGAAATGCAGGTCCCAGTGGCTGCTCAACCTCTGCTTTTGATACTGAAGTGCTGTCAACATTGGCTATACCCATGACCCCACAGTGACCATCCCTGTCCCACACCCTTCCCCGAAACAGAGTTCCCTAGTGAAAATGGTCGCCCAAAATGACACCACACTGCCTTCTAGAAAGACTGGCCCAACAGAAATGACTTGCAGGTTGGCTCCAGGGCTGTGGTGACCTCTGGGCCTCTCCATAATGCAGGGGTGGACACCCCACTAAAAGAAACAGTTCTCAGCTTACACAGCCAGGGCACCCAGTGAAATGTTTCCAATCTCTCAACAGAAAGCTCCTGGCACATGGCCTAAAATGCCTGCCCCAGTCCCTTGAGGGCAGCTAGATGTCTGTCTGTCAGAGACCTGTGACCATGGGTAGTAGGTAAACGGCAGCCCCACCTACCTTGATCATGTCATCCATGATGTGCACATCAAAGCCTTCACAGTCGCCACAGGGGCTGCGGATCCGCCACAGGTCCTGTGGGGAAGGCACAGCATCGTCAACATCCAACACAGGACCTGGGCACAGCGAACAGACGTCCAGCCCACCCAGGCCAGGGAAGTGTGGCCACGAGAGCGTGACATCACTGCGGTGGCCCCAGCCCTACTACTGAGGCATGTCTGCATGAACAGGCATGTCCAAGGCTGAGATGCTTCCCAAAGCAGATGACAGAGGACTCTGCAAATGTTGCCATGACCCCGGTCCTCTCCTGTGAGTGGGCTCCAAAGCCTCCTACTCCTCCAAAGCATTTCTTGGAGAGGAAATTTATAAAACGGTTCCCCAGAGCACCAGGATGAGGGAGAGAGAAAAAGGTTCTCCAAGGAGGTAACCAAAAGTTCAGCTTCCCAGGCTGCACTACTGCCTGCTGGGATGCCTGCTGGGAGCCAGCACCACCCTCTCAGTGCCCTCTGTGACCATGAAGACCAGAATTTATGTAGACGTCTATTCAGCAAATCATGATCACAGAAATGTCCAGAATGTAAGTGAAGAAGCCACTAACCACTCATGAACATAGCCTTTCTTAACCAAAGAAATGGCAAATGAGACTCAGTCTGTACTTCAGGTTAAAATAATTTCCAAATCCTTTTCATAAATAAGGCATTTCCCGAAAAGGCTTTGTGACTGCGGTTCTGCTTTGATGAGAAAAATGAACATGAAGCTTTTCAATTTTTTTTTTTAAACACAAAGACGCTGACTGTCCCGCCTCAAAATGCTTTTAACAACTGGCGCCTCAGCTGTTAATGAGAACAGAGTTGGCAGCACAGCAGGGGCCCCTGAAACTTTTCATTTACATGGTTTAATTATTCTGATAAGCCACCACTGTGAAATGACAGCACACAGTCATTTGCAGTTTGTATGTCAAATGGCAGTGTTTTAACCAGGCAAGTAGCTTACAGCTGACCCACACCATGCTGCCATGGGAGTGCAAAGACCCACACCCCTACAGGCTGCCAGTCTGCACCCATACATTCACAAAGATGAGGTCCCTCGGGTGGCCTACCTTGAACTCCACAACCACGGCATGCAGTGAGGCGGCCTGAGGCATCACCACGGCACCGGGTGCCAAGTACTGGTCCACGGCAGTCCGGACGTACCAGAAGTACAAGTTATGCCATGGCAGCAGGCTCGTGGTGAAGAATGGCTCTCCCAGCAAGAGGGAGACCTGGTGGGCAGAGCAAGAAGCAGGCTACAGTTCCACGGGGTTGTGACAGGTCATCCAAGCAAACAAGCGCACAGGACTACCTCCACCTCTGAAGAGGAACAGGAAGGATGGCAGCTGTTCTCACTGAGTAAAACAAGGGCTTGACAGATGGAAGCTGGGCAGGCGTGCACAGGGGCACCCTAGAGGTAAGAGCATCAGACAGGATGGGGCCCTAGGCTTCCTCATCAAAGCTGCCATCAGAGTTTCTCGCTGGAGCCAGGGGAGTCTTTTTCAACGAATTATGGTTGCTGTTAACTGCTATTGAGTTGTTTCCAACTCATGTCGACTTTGTATAGGGTTTCAAAGACGTGGTTAGGGTTTGAACAGCTGACTTTGCAGTTAGCAGTCCAGCGCTTATCCTACAGCACCACACCAGGATACCTTTCAATGAAAGGTGTTGTGAACACTAGACAATTGCCTAACAAAGAATGAAACTGTACGCTTTCCTCACATTGTATCCAAAAACTAACTCAAAATGGACTACTTAAAAACAAAACAAAAAACCAGTTGCCATCCAGTCGATTCCAACTCAGAGCCAACCTATAGGACAGAGTCAAAGTGCCCAAGGGCTTTTCAAGGCTATAATCTTCATGGAAGCAGACTGCCACATCTTTCTCCCACAGAGCTGCTGGTAGGTTCAAAACACCAACCTTCTGGTTAGCAGCCAAGTGCTTAGCCACTGTGCCACCAGGTCCCCTTAAAATAGATTGTAGACCTAACTAACTATAAAATTTCTAGAAAAAATAAAAAGAGAAAATGGATTTGGGTCTAGGCAAAGAGTTTTCACATACAATGTCAAAGGCATGAGTCCATAAAGTAAATTTAAAAAAAAAAAAAAAACAAAACAGTAAACTGAACTCAATTAAAATGGGAAATTTTTATGCTTCAAAAGATATCATCAGGAAAACAAAAAACAAAAAGGGACAGATTCAATTAAAAAAAAAACAACCCTTATATCCAGAATATGTAAAGAACCCGTTCAAGTCAATAACAAGATAAACAAAACTGAGATACAGACTAGTGGGCATGTAGTTTTCTTCTGGATGATGAAAATGTTCTGGAATTTGATCACAGTGGTGGTTGCACATATTTTAAGTACTAAATATCAATAGTAATGCATTTTATGTTACGTGTATTTGAACATAATTATAAAATAAAAGAACAATGAAAGAATAAACCATAAAAAAATTCTTTATCCAGGGAGGACAAAGGCCTCTACATCAGCAGTGTTTTAGAATTTTGACTTTGGTGCTACATACATGGCTGACTGTATTTAAATGTTTTATACAACTCTTTAAGGAAAGAAAGACATCCTGGTGGTGTGATGAATTAGGCATTGGGCTGCTAACCATAAAGTTGATGATTCGAACGTGCCAGCCATTCCATGGGAGAAAAGAGGAGTCTGCCTGCTTCTGTCCGTCCTATAGGGCTGCTGAGAGGGAATCGACATGATAGTATGGGTTTGATTGTAAGGAAACAACAAAGGGCTACTTGTACAACGATGATCAGAGCAGCATCTAAACAAGGTAACGTATATCAACTAATGAATGGTCCAACACATGTGGTATATCCATACAATGACTGCTACTCAGCATAAAAAAGAACAAAACACTATGCATGGATGAACATCAAAAACATTATGCTCAGTAAAAGACGGCAGGTGAGTAGCTGCCTGGAGCCAGTAACTCCAGGGAAGTGTGGGAGTATTAGCAATGTTCCAAAACTAGACTGGGTGATGATGGTTGCATGACTCTTTTTAAGTATCACTGTACACTTGCAATACGTTAATTTCATGGTACGTCAATTTTACTTCTATAAATCTGTTGCTTTAAAAAACACAAAAAAGGTTGGCAGGAAAGAGGATACACTCTGCTTTGGAAAAGTCCAGTCAGCAACCAGATCTAAGAATTAAATCCAAAAAGGTGACAAGGTCTCTTACATTGAAGACAGGTTTGGTGGCCATCAATGCAAGTTTGGGACAAAATACAGAGGAAGAAGAGAGGCAGCCAAGGACAGAACACCGTGGGAAAGTAATCGAAAAATTGCAAGATGGAAGAGCAAGCCATGAAGACGACCAAGAAGAGCACCCAAAAAGGTCAGAGAAGACCACCACCTAGAGAATGCTCTCTCTGAAGAACCTCAGAAGAAAAGTGTTTTGAGGAGGGAGAGGAGTTCTGAGCCCTGTGGAGAAGCCCACACTGGTGACTAGGAGACCACCCATGCTGGAAGACAAGATGGGAAGATGAAGCTGAGGAGAGAGGATTAGCACTGCTGCGCTTGTCCTGGAGGATAGAGCAGAGAGTTCTGGGAACTAATACAGGGAATGCTCACTGGGCAGTTCCACCAGCTCCCACACACCCTTGACTCATCAGTCAAGCTGGTAAGTCACCATGAGGAGAAGCTGGGGCTACTTCAAAGCTGTCTGTCTGTCTATCCTGAGCAGCACCCAGGGCAAATACACAGTGCCTGCTACTCACCTTTTTATCCTCCAAGTCTTCAGGTGTTAACAACTCAGGTCGTTTCTCTATTACATTTATTTTCTCTTCTAAGTTGTTAGCCTTGAAAATCTTCGAAAAAAAACAAAAAACAAAAAGCTTACTGTCTTTTTATTAAATATTATTTTCATTCAGAAAAATCACCACATGTGGCGTTTTCTGGTGAATCATTTTGGGGCCTACTTTCCTCTGCTTTGTGAAAATTCTCCCCTAGAGGGAATCCTGAGAGCAATGGAAAGACCAGGAGCAAAACACTGTTAACAGCAGATGTTGCTCCTGTAGGCACACATGCAAGACTTCAAGATGGGCTTGCAGTTCCTTCAGAATGGAAACCACACCAACCACTGGCCAGGTCAAGTGAGAAAAACAGGGAGAAAGCATTACAGAACCAGGCCGTCAAGCCAGGCCAGCAGCTCTCTTTTCCTAAGAACTTGTGTCCCAGAAAGAAGCCATGAATTCCGTTTTCTCACAGCGAAGATGTCATTTTCCTTAGCTGTATGTGAAGTGAGGAGAGACGTCAAAACTTCTTCAATCACAAAAGACATGCGGAGTCTGAGCATTTGCTTCTCTTTCAGGGACTGCCTAGGCTAGCTTTCTGGCCAGCTCTCAACGCAGCTGCTCCTTCCTCCTGTTCCCCTCTGTACCGACACTGCTTCGAAATGAGCAACCCCAGACTCAGGCAGAAACCTCACAGGTGCCGCACCCCTTCAACAACAACGTAAGCACTTACTTTCTTCATCAGTTGATGAGAAGCTGCTGAACTCTCGACTGTAAACACCTGAATTGGACAGCAAACTATCAGTGTAAGGAATTCACTTAACAGAGAAAGAAAAATTCTTAAAGGCAGCAAAATTCATTTCCACCTGTGCCCATCACCTCCCTAGGAGAGCACCTACTTTCTGCACCAACCCGAAACCTGGGCGGCGGCTGTGGCAGTAACAGTAACAGTAGCAAGCATGGGAAGCCACAGATACCCCAGGCCCCTGATGACGCAGGCTGCCCCACACACAGCTGTTTGCAGCGAAAGCTTGGAAGGTGGAGCCCCAGTCCCAGACCACCTCAGGGGCTGATCCCATACCTGCTCTGCCCCCAGGTGCAGGGCCAGCACAGGGAGCAGGCTGCCATCGCTGACGCAGAGACAGACACTGTCCGGCTTCAGCACCTGCAGGACAAGAACCACCTTAGCACAGCCTTTTCTCACGACATCAAGGTGTTCAGCAGTTTGTCAAGGAATCCTTGTTGGAAAATAAAACACCTCCCAGCATTGCCCTGACCCCACCAATGCACTGGCTCTCTCTCTCTCCCTTTCTAGAACCCCTCAGCACAGATTGGACCCTCTTGTCCCCTACCTGTGATGTTACCTTCAGTCCACACAGTCACCTTCACCCTCACCCCTCAAGCCCACCCACCTCACACCCCTCCTTCTCACTATCCAGCCGCAACTATCACGAAAAGACCGTCAATTTGTCCTGGGAGGCCCTGCTGAAGGCCTGTCCCACGTGCAAGCGCAGCCACCACCCAGGTCACGATGACAGATCTCTTCCCTGCCTGGTTACAGGAATGGGGCCTGTCACTCAAGAATCATGTGGTATCATCTGACTTTCTAAAGTCAGGCAGGACGCTACGGGTCACTGGCCCCAACAGACTAGGATGACAGCTTGGAGTCTTCCTGAAAAATGCAGGCCTGTACAGAGACACACAAAACTCTAGACACAATTCCAAAAGACATCTGTGGTCCCCAAGTGAACAGATCCCTGCTCTGGGGACCCAACTAGAGGTGGCAGATTTACACGACCATTTTCAGTTTAGGAAATTTTTTAAAGGGGTGGCAGATAAAAGGAGAGGGGCAGCTGAACCCACATTGACGGCCACATGAATAGGGGTGACACAAAGGCAGAAGCATCCAGCCAGACAAGAACAGGCACTTGGGGAGGAGAGCCACGAACAAACCCCTTAGAGTCCAGAAGCAAGTACTCGAGAGCCCAGCTGAAGCCACTCACAGACAAGGGAGCATATAAACAAAATCAGCCAACCACAGAGCAGTGAGCTCCCAAGCTAAATTCTTCCTTGCCCACAAGTCACCTCGGGGCTGGACACGTACCATCTTCAAGGCCTGGACATACTGATCTGTTCTGTCTTGATCGTTGATCTCCCCAAACCGAGGCCGGTTCCAGAGCAGGTGAGCCTGACAGTCGCAGATGGGGCGCACTTGACAGAGGTCAGCCCTGTCGTTTTCGCCACTAGGCCAAGAGAGGAACACAACCATCACAGGTGAAGAACATGACCTACCAGACACAGGAGGGCCTAGGGGTAGGTGCCCAGGGACCCCAAGGTCCAGCAAGGATACAAGTCCTGGGACTGGCTCTTGGTCAACAGTAGAGGTTAGTGGGCTTCTCCAGAAAGCAGAGGTGGTCTTTGGATAACACACAGCCAGGCACTGGCGCATCTAGTTCCAACCCCTGTCCTTGTTTGATTGTGCTGTTACAAAACCATCCATAGGCATCCATGCAGGGCCTGGACATGGGGACTTTACATACATGACAGTCACCAAGGCCCAACCTTCCACCTGTGATGCTCCATGCGTACCTGGACCTCTGCAGGCTGAACCACACACAATAGTCGTCGTGGTGGGCCACCAGGCAGATGGCCGAGTCCTGTGCCACAGGCTCCTCTCGGGACAGGAAGTACACGCACTGCATCCAGTGGTCCCGCCACTGAAAGGGGAACAGAATCGGCTGTCACCATGCTGCCCACCCAGGAAGGGGCCAAAACCCATTACAATTCGTTTCCATAGACCACTGGTGGAGACTATAACTGGTCCCTGCGGCTGAAGAGTTGACGAGGAAAACCCTAGAGTTACAGAGGTCAGTGGCAGAAAATGCGCCAGGACTGCCAGCTGGAAGAAGACACCAAGTGCCTAGTCTTCAAGTGGCACCAAGAAGGGGGCAGTAGTACAGGTACTCCGGCCCCACTCTGCTTCTCTACCTGCTACCTGCTGGGCTCTGTTTAATGTTTCCTCTGAAAAGAGAAAGCCCCAGCTTTAAACAAACATTTAAACCCACTGCCCTGAAGGATGCATGCAGTGTGTCTGTGGAGAAATGGGGGTAGGAGGTGGGAAAGACAGAGGAAGGGAGAAAGAAAAGCAAATGTGGCAAAGTGTTAACTGATCAATTTATGTAAACAACACATCAATGTTCATTTTCAGCGGTGGTGGTGCTGAGGTGCCGTGGAATCGGTTCTGACTCATAGCGACCCTGTAAAGGGTTTCCAAGGCTGTAAATCTTTATGGGAGCAGAACGCCTCATCTGTCTTCTGCGGAACAGCTGGAAGTTTCGAACTGCTGACCTTAAGGTTCACAGCCCAATTCGTAACCACTACGCTACCAAGAGCTCCTTTCCTTTTCAGTAGTTCTGTGGAATTAAAATTTTCCCAAATAAAAATTGAGGTAAGTTTTGTTTATTCTTTTGAATTAAATGGAGTTTTTAAAGAATGAAAAAATCTGAATTGCAACATCATTTATAATGCTAGGTGTTGGTGGTGGTGGTGATGTGCCATGGAGTCGGGTCTGACTCATAGCAACCCTAGGTGGTAAATCTTTATGGGAGCAGAAAGCCTCATCTTTCTCCCGCAGAATGGCTGGTAGTTTTGAACTGCTGGCCTTGAAGTCAGCCGACAGACTACTAACACTACACTACAACACTCTTTAGTATGGGGAAGGCTACACACAGCCTGCCACATTTACAGCAATCTGTAGTTCTCGCTCTGCATTTCCGAGTTCTATGCGCTGTCTCCTACGAGCTGATGAAGACCTGCTCTGCTGGGGCACTCTGGGGAAGCGGGGCGAGAGCTATCAGAGGAACTGGGCCAGGAGGGAACAAACAGCACTCCACAGCAGCTCCATTACCACAACCCAGACAGATGTCCACTTCACTACGACCAACCTTAGCTGTTTTTTAACGTTTTGCTTTTGATTCTGATAGTCCTTTCTGTCTCTGAATTCTTGTGAATCCGAGAATCAACTCACTACGTTCCCATAACCAAAGGCAGATTACCAGTTTCTTGATTTATGTGAAACGTGCTCAGCTCCAGCATCTTACCTGGAGCCCCTCTGGATCTGAGTGTGCCCAGAAGGGTGCCATGGTGCACTTGATCTTCCCCTCAGGGTCCATTTCAATGTCCCACCAGGAGAGAACCACTTGAGCTCGGCCAGATGCCAAAGGTACAAACTGCTGACTATGGCAGGCTGCAGAGCTACTGACTTGCTTACTGAAGTCCACACTGTGGAAGGATATTCAGAAATGTAAGCATATTTCAACCACACACGTTCCATTTTTAAGCTGTTAAAACACCAACGATGATAATTAGACTCCAGCCTGCTGGTGCCCGGTGATACCAGCTAGGATCCCTTCTTATCCCAAAAGGAGGTCCAGACCCAAATGCCATCAAATATCTCACAGTGTCATCACCCGAGTGGCTCATTGGTACCTAAACATAGGGAGTACGTCGCTGAGTGTGATGAAGTCTGCAGGTGACACCTGGTTCAGCTGAATGTCATAGACGGAGGGTGCACCAGGACACCTCTCCAACTCCAAAGGAGGGACGATGATGTGGTCCTGGAGGCCAGTCCGAACATGGATGGGAAACAGCTTGTTCCACGACCACATCCTTTTGGACTCTACCAGCTGGGCATAGACGGTTGCTCTGTGAGGCACTGCCTCACAATTTTCCTAAATTTATATTAAAAAAAGAAAATAAAAATAAATAAATGCAGGTATTACTATGACCCATAGTAATACCCACAGTTAAAAAAAAAAAAAAAATCAATCAAGAACTCTACTAGAGGAAGATAAAAAATTTTTGATAAAAGAAACAAGGGTAAATTGCTACAATTTGAGGAACTTGACCTATACCTACTGAGAGGGAAAGAGTTGTCACATCAAGTATAAATCCTATCCCCTCCATATACAGGGTTGATACGGATGGCAACTTAAGACATTGGCAACCTAAAATATGTGGGCAATAAAGGCACAAAGTGACTGGCTTATAAATTATCAAGAGGGAGTTTAGTATCAGAGTGTGTGGGGTGGTGGTGGTGGTAGAATCCCCTCTGAATGGTTTTCATCTTGTCTAGATGGGTCTGGTGAAAAGAGATGGGGATAAGATTCTTATGAATCAACAGTAATTATTAAGATGACTAAATGTGATTGTCACAACTGTAAAGGTAGAAGTTTTATAACAAAAACGGGGAAGTAGTTAATTTTACAGTTCAGGAACAGAGGACCCTAGGACCATCAAGGGAGAGGAACACAAGCAGACTGTGGGACCCTATCCAGAGAAGCAGTGACACCAGAGATGGAGGCTGAGAAGGCGACAGGACGAGAGAGAGCAGCTGACTCATGGGAAGAGAAAGGCTGTGTGCTGGCCGCCAGGAGGCAGACATGCAGAATGTGCCCTTTGGTTGTTTAAATTATTATATATTCCTGAATGTCTTTGTGTACATTAATTAAAAAAAAAAAAAAGAGGGAACAGAAGAAAATACTGCTGAATGATGATGCATGGAGAGGATAGTAATCATTGCAATGAAACAGAAAAATGATAGGATGAGTGTAAAACCGATGTTCTCCCATGTAAACTATCATTCAATTCACAATAAAAACTTTAAAAAAATTTAAACAAAAATGGTTTCTTCAACATTAGGATGGTGTCCTGGTGTGGTGCTGTGGGTTAATGCACTGGACTGCAAAGTCTGTTTGAACCACAAGCAGTTCAAGCTCACCAGCTGCTCCTCAGAAACCCTATACTGAGATGCTATGGGTTGGAACCAACTCAACGGCACTTAACAACAAGGTTGGTGTGGTAACAGCTAATACCTGCTTCACCAGTAGGATAGCGGATCGCTTTCTGCCCTACACTCTCTGAAAGAACAAAAAAAGAACTAGATTTCAAAAAGAATTTATATTATACCTACAATGCCTGAAAACACCAGATAGGTTCCTAGCTACCTGACACACTGAAACACTTCACCATGCTGATAACCTCCCACACTAATGGGAAGCCAGAGTTCAAAGTTCAAGCCTCATTACTCAGCAGTCATGCTGGCCCTGGCTAAGAGCGTTCATTCTGTGCGGCTCCTGCCAGATACCAACACCACCTTATTACAAAGCCCAGTGGACAACTGCCCACGTTCAGCTGACTTGCCCTCGCAGCACTTGACGTTGCAGACCACACTTCTCACTTGGTTTAGGTCAAGTTCCTGTCTAGTGTCCCTCCTGCCCACTCATTCATGCCTTCAACACTCTCTCCATGCCAGGACTGGGGACCTTCTTAAGTTTCCTGGGCACTGCTGACATACTAGGCCAGGTCCTCCTGTTGTGGGGCACTGTCCTGTGCACTGGAGGTGACATCACCCCAATTCATCTTTCTGGCTCTTTGATGAGAGCCAGTCTCCTTTGCCTGAAGAGCCTCATCTTCCAGAGCAACCACCAGGTGGGGATGGTGATGAGAGTACACAGGGTACACCAGCTGTGAGTGGAAGGGGAGGAAAGCTGCCTGTGACCTTTCAAATAGGATAAATTAGAGAAGAACTAACAATTCTCAGTGTGCTTATTCCCTCTTTCAGGGATTTGTCTTTAGTGGTTCTAATGTGGAGAAATTAATTAATACATTAATACTGCAGCTGATTACCAGGAAGGCTCTTGACAATTTAGCAATTGAGCCATCTCACTAAACCATGCAGGGCTGGAGAGAGATATGCTGACTGTGATTTGGGTGGACTCCAACCCCAGACCACCTTGGACAAAGCCCTTCTTCAGTCCTAGGTACCTGACCTGGAAGGTGCTCACCAGGCAGGGCTAATAGATGACGCAGAGCAGCCCACCCTGCCCCAGTGGGTATCAGCCTGTGTCTCCACCTCCAGTTTTATAGCTACAAAAAAAAAAAAACCCAGACAGACCCAGTTCTCTGAAATAACATTTCTGCTTGTCTCTTCCTTTTCAAAAAAACTGCTACATCACCACTTCCCATGCAATGGCCTAGCATTCCAGGTCTTCCACCTTCTATCCCATTGTCTACCATTAGTCCACAAGAGCTCCAGGTAGCGCTCACTGGCCTACCCAACAGGTCGCCTACCTGCGACACCTTTCCCTCTCATCAACACCTTTGTAAATTCTACTCCCCAGTCACCTGTGCTTTCAGCTCCTTCTGGCCCCTAAGCTCTTCTACCAGTCATAACCTAAATGTCTGTGGTGCTTCCGTTTGCCTGTCCATTCAGTCCCTCAAATCTTCACCTCTGCTGGCTACTGTGAGGCTTATACAAGGGGGCTTCAAAAAGTTTATGGGAAAACAGACTAAAAAATAATGGAATTTCCAACAAACTTTTTGAAGCCCCTCATATTACTCCCTGGACACTAGAACCCCTTACACACAGTTACTACTCAAGACTACCTACTGAACTGACTTGGAACATGAAGACGGCGTCTTGCCTTTCAACTCTAACCTCCTAAGACTTGGCACAAAAGTCATGACCGAGAACCAACGCCTCCCAGAATGGAGGGACTGCAGAGGTACAATAGGTCCGAAGGTCTTTTGTTGAACAAGTGCAAGAACGGAAGCTGTGGGAATAGATGGGATCACAATAGTGATCCAAGGAGGCCCTCAGTTTACTACCTGTACGAGATGCCTGTGGGCGTGCTCATAGGAGGGCAATGCCCCCTCCCCGATCAGCTCTGTGTCAAACAGTTCTGTGATCAAGATGTTGGCACGGCATGGCATGTCACCATCTGCGGAACACAAGGAAACAGAGTCAGAAGCACACAGCAAACAAGGAAAACACTGACAGCAAATATGTGCAAGACAAGGAGCCCCGGTGGCACAATCCCTGGTTGGCATGACTGCTAACCAAAATGTCAGCAATTCGGACTCACCAGCTAC